GTGTATTTACCAACTGTTAAAAACATAAGGTGTGACATTTTAATAACTATATCCGTGTATTTACCAACTGTTATAAACATAAGGTGTGACATTTTAATAACTATATCCGTGTATTTACAAACTGTTACAAACATAAGGTGTGACATTTTAATAACTATATCCGTGTATTTACCAACTGTTAAAAACATAAGGTGTGACATTTTAATAACTATATCCGTGTATTTACCAACTGTTACAGACATAAGGTGTGACATTTTAATAACTATATCCGTGTATTTACCAACCGTTACAGACATAAGGTGTGACATTTTAATAACTATATCCGTGTATTTACCAACTGTTACAAACATAATCCCGGATCTTTCCCTTCCGTGAAGTACTCTCCGCATATTTGTCACGTCACGAGGGGAGCGAAGGGAAATAGTTTCGAGCTCCCGGAGTCTTCAATCCAAAATCCTCACTAGGACAACTATTGGAGATCAATATTTGAGCTGGAGTTGAAACTTTGTTTTTGTTGTTGTTGCTGATCAGGAATGGGGGTTGGTCGTTATCTGGCAACAACAAAGATGTTCCTAACCTATGCCTGTTATTATTATTACACAGTTAAATAGTCAGTGACGTCACACTATGCACAGCAGATTGATCGTAGATAACAGAAACCAAAAGTACAGGTTAACATACGGTCACTGGCATTTAGACGAAACTGGTGCCGACCTATTTAAATGCACCTACCGCTAAACATGGGACGGTACACCGACAAAACAACCGAAGCGTGAATTTGAAAATTACAAACTTCAATGAACTCAAATGGGAGATGACTTTTAGTTAATAATTAGTATGATTTATTAAATATAACAATAAATTAAAATTATAATAAATATGTATATAGTTCTGTCAATATCCGTCTGAAAGTGAGTCACGTGTGATCACGTGACATCCTATTTTTATACAACGACTGTTATTACTTTTCTTTTCGTACTTTATATACGACACGCCATCTTTCCACGGTATTTAGTATTTTGTATTCTATATACGACACGCCATCTTTCCACGGTATTTGGTATTTCGTACTTTATATACGACACACCATCTTTCCACGGTATTTGGTATTTCGTACTTTATATACGACAACGCCATCTTTCCACGGTATTTGGTATTTCGTACTTTATATACGACAAGCCATCTTTCCACGGTATTGGTATTTCGTACTTTATATACGACAAGCCATCTTTCCACGGTAGTTGATATTTCGTACTTTATATACGACACGCCATCTTTCCACGGTATTTACTATTTCGTACGTTATATACGACACGCCATCTTTCCACGGTATTTACTATTTCGTACTTTATATACGACACACCATCTTTCCACGGTATTTAGTATTTCGTACTTCATATACGACATATAACTTAGTTAATGTATATCTCTGGTAAACAGAAATAAAGTTTTCTAATTCTACACTTTCTGTAGAAGTAAGAGTGGTGGTATCCAGAGTTAAGGTAACTTAGTTTATGTATATCTCTGGTAAACAGAAATAAAGTTTTCTAATTCTACACTTTCTCTAGAAGTAAGAGTGGTGGTATCCACAGTCAAGGTAACTTAGTTGATGTATATCTCTGGTAAACAGAAATAAAGTTTTCTAATTCTACACTTTCTGTAGAAGTAAGAGTGGTGGTATCCACAGTCAAGGTAACTTAGTTGATGTATATCTCTAGTAAATAAAATTAAAGTTTTCTAATTCTACACTTTCTGTAGAAGTAAGAGTGGTGGTATCCACAGTCAAGGTAACTTAGTTGATGTACATCTCTGGTAAACAGAAATAAAGTTTTCTAATTCTACACTTTCTCTAGAAGTAAGAGTGGTGGTATCCACAGTCAAGGTAACTTAGTTGATGTATATCTCTGGTAAACAGAAATAAAGTTTTCTAATTCTACACTTTCTGTAGAATTAAGAGTGGTGGTAACACATAACACTGACTTTTATTGTATTTTTAATATTTGTTATAATTAGTAACAGAATCAGGGTGTCCAACTTTAACTGCCCCAGAAAATGGAGAATTATCTGGATTCTGTTCGTCTGCCGTGACTGGAGACCGGTGTATGTTTTCCTGTCTACAAGAGTACCAACTAGTAGGAGACCCAGAATTGATCTGTCTGGAGTCTGGTAGTTGGTCTGGAACAGCCCCTACTTGTAACAGTAAGCATATTTTGTTTTTATATTAACATTTTCGTCTTAACATTCTCCAAAACCGATACATGTATATGAATTTAATTTCTTTACATTTATACATAGTTTTAAGAACGTGTTTTGTGAACATCATAATAACCATTCGTAACGGAACTAATACAAAGTAAAAGAAAAACATCTTTATTTTATCACGAACGAAACGATAAATTTACAGATTCTTCATATAATTACAAACTAATCTCCCTATTTGGATGACAGTGACTTATATTGTATCACCTAACTTTAAAAACATTGTGAGTCTTTGGAATTAACTAATAAAATATGTATTTGAGCCAAGTTATTTCACAAGAAATAATGAATTGGGTTTTGAAAATTCTATTTTAAATAATTGAACTCGTATATAACAGCCTTTTAGTGTATCTAATCTAACACCTTGGTGTCTACTACTAAATGTGTTTTATATAAAAAACAGGTGTGTTAAAGTGTATTATAATAAATAATCTTTATTAGTAAGTTTCATTGTGTTCATATAAACTAAACATCGTTTAAAACGATCTTTAATAACTTATGTTGAGTTAATTATCACATTTCTTACTTTATATAAGTTTTATGAAATTCAAGAAGGACCACATGTCATAACTTCTCGTCACTTAGTGTTTCCAATGAATCACATTGAAAGAAATATATTTAAACTATCTAAATCTGGATTCTTTTACTTTTTCTTTAACACTTAAACTATATATATTATTTAACACTGGAATCAGTTAATGACCATGGTAAGATATCTTGTTATTAACAGGGTAAATCAATATGTTAAAACTAAATGTTAAAGTGTTCTCGTTACATGATTTCACGTAATTATGTTTTTATGGAAAACACTGGAATCAGTTAATGACCATGGTAAGATATATGACTATTATCAGGGTAAATCAGTATGTTAAAACTAAATGTTAAAGTGTTCTTGTTACATGATTTCAAGTAATTATGTTTTTATGGAAAACACTGGAATCAGTTAATGACCATGGTAAGATATCTGGCTATTAACAGGGTAAATCAGTATGTTAAAACTAAATGTTAAAGTATTCTTGTTACATGATTTCACGTAATTATGTTTTTATGGAAAACACTGGAATCAGTTAATGACCATGATAAATATCTGGGTATTAACAGGGTAAATCAGTATGTTAAAACTAAATGTTAAAGTGTTCTCGTCACATGATTTCACGTAATTATGTTTTTATGGAAAACACTTGCACAAGTACATGGTCATAATGCAATTAGTAATGAAGAGTTTATAGGTCATTGACCACAAGAAGTCCGACTAGTTGTCGTGCTTAACATTAAAACTGCTGTACGTGGTTCACTTTTTGCCCAAATAAACCTTCCTTCCCAAACTTCGGGCCATGAATGCGTTATAAAAGTGACTATCAAATGACATTATTCAGTTTAAAAACAGTAGCCCAACAATTGGTGGTGAGCAGTATAGACTAGCTATCTTCCCTCTAATCCACTACTACAAAATTAGGACGACTAGTAGAGTTAGTTCTTCGTTCGGAATCCATCTCTGTATGCAGTTTTGTCCTGTTAACGAAAATAACTTTATAGAGTCGAAGGCCACTTTCAAAGATAATTAAAGTTTTCTAATTTTACACTTTCTGTAGAAGTAAGAGTGGTGGTATCCACAGTCAAGGTAACTTAGTTGATGTATATCTCTAGTAAACAGAAATAAAGTTTTCTAATTCTACACTTTCTGTAGAAGTAAGAGTGGTGGTATCCACAGTCAAGGTAACTTAGTTGATGTATATCTCTAGTAAACAGAAATAAAGTTTTCTAATTCTACACTTTCTGTAGAAGTAAGAGTGGTGGTATCCACAGTCAAGATAACTTAGTTGATGTATATCTCTAGGAAACAGAATTAAAGTTTTCTAATTGTACACTTTCTGTAGAAGTAAGAGTGGTGGTATCCACAGTCAAGGTAACTTAGTTGATGTATATCTCTAGTAAACAGAATTAATTTTTTAATTCTACACTTTCTGTAGAAGTAAGAGTGGTGGTATCCAGAGTCAAGGTAACTTAGTTGATGTATATCTCTGGTAAACAGAAATAAAGTTTCTAATTCTACACTTTCTGTAGAAGTAAGAGTGGTGGTATCCAGAGTCAAGGTAACTTAGTTAATGTATATCTCTAGTGAACAGAATTAAAGTTTCTGAATGTACACTTTCTGTAGAAGTAAGAGTGGTGGTATCCAGAGTTAAGGTAACTTAGTTAATGTATATCTCTAGTAAACAGAATTACTTTTCTAATTCTACACTTTCTGTAGAAGTAAGAGTGGTGGTATCCACAGTCAAGGTAACTTAGTTGATGTATATCTCTAGTAAACAGAAATAAAGTTTTCTAATTCTACACTTTCTGTAGAAGTAAGAGTGGTGGTATCCAGAGTTAAGGTAACTTAGTTGATGTATATCTCTGGTAAACAGAAATAAAGTTTTCTAATTATACACTTTCTGTAGAAGTAAGAGTGGTGGTATCCACAGTCAAGGTGACTTAGTTGATGTATATCTCTAGTAAATAAAATTAAAGTTTTCTAATTCTACATTTTCTGTAGAAGTAAGAATGATGGTAACACATAACACTGACTTTTATTGTATTTTTAATATTTTTTATAATTAGTAACAGAATCAGGATGTCCACCTATAAGTGCCCCAGAAAATGGAGAATTATCTGGATTCTGTTCGTCTGCCGTGACTGGAGACCGGTGTATGTTTTCCTGTCTACAAGAGTACCAACTAGTAGGAAACCCAGAGTTGATCTGTCTGGAGTCTGGTAGTTGGTCTGGAACTGCCCCTACTTGTAACAGTAAGCATTTTCGTCTTAACACGATATGGGTATATAAGTTTACTTGTTTTGCATTTGAACATTCATCTAAAAAGGTTTGGTTTCTTATAAATAACAACCTATCATAACAGAAATTGATGAATTAAAAAATTCATTTGTATTTTACGTACGAACTATAAATCTAAACATTTCTCGGATAAAATAATTATATAATTATAAAATAATTGTTGTCTTTCATCCTTAACAAAATTATCAGTATAAGGAATTAACTAGATATTTTAGACCATTTAATTGAATACGTATGATAACGTGTATTAAATAATAAAAAATTTATTGCCCAACCATTTTTATGTTTCTCCTTGTATAACTTCTAAACAAGGAATGTATGAAAGTGTTACTATAGATAAGATCTAAGTATTTGTTTACATTTCTCTGACAGACTAGGCCTAATTTTCAAATATTCTAATCGATGAGCGAAATAAAGAACTTGATTTGTCAAATAGAGAAATAAAACGGTTAACTTTGTACGAGAAACACTGACCTAATTATTAAATAACAAATGTAACACATAACACTGACTTTTATTGCATTCTTAATATTTTTTACAATTAGTTACAGAAACCGGGTGTCCAACTTTAACTGCCCCAGAAAATGGACAATTATCTGGATTCTGTTCGTCTGCCGTGACTGGAGACCGATGTATGTTTTCTTGTATGGAAGAGTACCAACTAGTAGGAGACCCAGAATTGATCTGTCTGGAGTCTGGCAGTTGGTCTGGAGAAAGTCCATCATGTGAACGTAAGTCACATGTTTCACATTCATTATATAAATTTTAGTAAATAAATGAACAAGTATTGAAGGTGTTTTCAATGAGTAACAAGAATGTAGTGTTCGAGCTAATTTCTATAAAGTAAGAACTTAGATATGTTTGAATTACAGTGTAGCTATGCTGCCATCTTGATTTATTATTATGAACCAGTGAATGTAAAACAGTGTTATTTTAAGTATTCGTTATCAATAAACATGAATCTTTTTATGATATTTCCATAACACTAAATAATTTTAATACAATCGTAAATAAATATTGTAGATTTGATGTCAGATATCCTTCTCTTT